CTGTAACTGTTGACTGAGCTCCACTCAGTCACAATATCCTGAATCACAGTAGAAACAGGACACAGCATGTTCTCTTCTGATCCAGATGTTCTCCTGAGAACTTTGTGGAGTCAGATGTGGGATCAGATCACACTGACAGACTGTGGACAGTCTGAAAGCCTGAATGTAACTCCATCTTCTGTCCTCCATCTGCACATGAAACCAAATAAAGATTCAAAGTGTGCAGGTGTGAGAGAGGCTGATGAGAATTCAGTCTGATGTCAAACACAGTCAGAGAAGATCAGCTGAAGCACTGATGTAAGGAACTAAATGTCCAACAGGACCAGTCCAGATGTTCTGCTGTCAAATGCATGAAGGAAACATAAAGAGTCCCTCATAATAACATGTTTTATCTTTTATGTGTCATGACAGACTTTCTCTCTGTGACCTCTCAGAGAGTGACTATGAAGTCGTGGCCTCAGCTCTGAAGTCCAACCCCTCGCACCTGACAGAACTGGACCTGACCTACAACAACCTGCAGGATTCAGGAGTGAAGCATCTTTGTGATGGACTGCAGAGTCCAAACTGTAAACTGGAGACTCTCAGGTCAGTTCACTGGCTGCTGTCTGAAGACAAACTGGAACATTTGAATGACACAAAGCTACCAAGCTGGTAAACAGAAGAAGAAGGTGATGGAATCAATGAAAGATGAAGAGTTTGTAGTCCAACATGTGAGATGTGATGTTGATCCTGTAATGAGAGAGTGGACTGAGGTCAGCAGCATGTTGTTGATGTGTGTGGGCATGAACAGGTGGATGGATGTTGTGCTGACATCTGGATGATGTGTGTAGAAGCTGACATGGTGATAATCCACACTAACAGAAGGACACAGTCACTGCTGGTTGTAGAGAAAAGCTCATTGATGAGGACAAAGTCATGTTGAGCTGCACATTCAGAACCTGAACACATCTGATGGATCATCACTGATTTTATCTACATGTTCTATTTATTCAGATTGGAGCACTGCAGTTTGTCAGAGATCAGCTGTGATTCTCTGGGCTCAGCTCTGAAGTCCAACCCCTCCCATCTGAAACACCTGGACCTGAGCTGGAACCACGACCTGCAGGATTCAGGAGTGAAGCATCTGTGTGGTTTTCTGGAGAGTCCAGACTGCAGCCTGCAGACTCTGAGGTCAGACATCATGCCTTCAGTGATTCAAACTCCTCATCTTTGGGCGAATGTTGCTGTTTTCACACCAGTTTTAATGACTGCTGTAAATCATCCACATGTGAAGAGTTTTTCTCTTTAAATGTCGTCAGGAGTCATAAAGTCAAGACCCAGTCAAGAGTCAAAGCTCCAAGTGTCATTCGGGTCCGAGCACTGATGATGATGATGATGATGATGATGATGATGATGATGATGATGATATTCCTAAATACATGCATTGAGGGCCTAAACACACTCAAAAACTCACCAAAATTTGCACACACATCAGGACTGGTGGAAATCAGAAACTATCAGGGACCTGGGCATGTCACTGCAATCAGCACTCTTATTTAACCCGACAGGAAATCCACCATGTTGGAAAAACATTCCTCCTATAGGGATTATGTCGTACACACCTGAAATTTGGCCAGCACAAACTGCAGGACGTGGTGATTTAAAGGTATTAAAATGAGGGCTGCCACTTTAGCTCACCTAGTTGAGCTGGTGACCCATGTACAGGGGCTATAGTCTCCAATGCAGTGGCCATAGGTACGAATCCCGCTCATGGCCCTTTGCCGTCCATCGCCGCTTGCGGCTTTAATTGAAGTTGTTTCTGCTGAGCTGATATCAGTCCGTCAGTCAAACACTCTGCTCACCTGTCAGCACCTGGTGTGTGTCACATCACTGCAACACTTCAGCTGTAACCTCACAAGTGGCACAAACTCTCTCCTTCGTCCTTCACAGCATCTGGAGCTGTGGGCTCACTGAAGCCCAGACAGTGGGTTCATCTGCTGGCCAACCTTTGATATGGTTTTCATGTTTATGTCCTGGAAGCAAATGTGTTTGTCCTCTGTGGAGCAGCAGCTTCTCTATACAATAAATGAACAGATCTCATTCATGAAGCTGTACGTTTGGAGAGAACATGTGAAGAAGATTTAACGTTGACTTCATGCATATCAATCTGTGTCCATGGTACCAACGTTTAGCTGTAACATCACTTCAGTCTCAGCAGCACGTCTGGATGAGCTGATCTCTGCAGGTCTCTGTCAGGCTGAAGGACAAACATTTGACAAGTCAGCAGTTGTGGACATGAAGCGTTCCAGAGCAGTTTATCACTTGAGACCAACTAACTTAGTCATCCTCCAGTTTGGTGTCAACGATGCTTTGGGCTCCAAACCAGGACGATTTGAAGGATGCAGCTGTTGTGCAGCAGCTGGATGGAGGCAGCAAGTATGTGTGTGTGTGTGTGTGTGTGTGTGTAGGTGTAGGTGTGTGTGTGGGTGTGTGTGTGTACTTTGACTCAGTTTTACTACTTGAAGTATTTAAACTCAGGACACAGTGTATTTGTGGCTCTGATGGAACATTAAATAATTAGTTTTATTTACATTTATATTATTGTTTTACACATTTCCCTCCAGACTCAGTCGGACATGTTTGCTGTCTTTGAACATTC